AAGTTTCAAAATGCTCAAAATACTTGATCCCTGCTGAATTTTTTTTTTGGTTCACAAACATTTGCAGGATTCTGAGTTTTGGTCCTGATTTGGGATGGGGAAAAATAGTCAAAATTTCAAACTCTCATAGGATAGGAACACTGCCAGCCAGCTTTGATGGGCACATGGGCTAAGGATCTGGCCTCTAACTCAGATGTTTTATCATCATAGTTGGCATTGCAACTTTCTGCTCTCCTGTGATGCAAGATTTTGGGCCATGGAGCATGCCGCTCAGTCAAGTTGAAAGACATGTCACACACTGATTTTCCAATGGTGACATGTCACAACCCATCTAGTACGATGCCTCAGTCAAAATCCATCACTTCCACAACCCCCATTTTTTGAGGAAGAACAGCTCTTACACAAAGGGGGGGTTTTGCACAAAAAGGAGCAGTCTACACAGCACTTTTTTGTGTAAAAACCTCTTGCACAAAAGGGATCTGAGGAAATGCAAATGAGAGCACAACATATGCAAATAAGCACTCCATTTGCATTTCCTCTTGTGGAAGAGGCTCGTAGTGTAGACATAGCCTAGGAGCCTGTACAGCAATTAGCACAAGAAGAGCACAATTTCAGCTGGAGCCTGCTGAGATGATCTAAGGGGTCCCTTTGGCCTTACACTCTGAAAGATATGTATCATGCATACACCCTCTCCTCCTGAAACTTCATTTCTTTACACTTGTTTTCCATTACTAAACTCAACTCTAGAACTGACATTTCCTTCCTTCATGCCTATCCACATTAAAACAATAGACCAAGCAATCCATGCAATGTTGGGGACACTTTGCATAAATGCTCTTCCAAAAGCAATTTTCCTTTCCCCTTTATTTTCTATCTTTCTGCCTCCCATTATTCCTATAAGGTACTATTCTAAACCCATCACTCATGCAAGACGTCTCACTGATATACATGGAATTGTTCATGTGAATATGGATTTACAGCAACAGTCCAATTATTTAGACACTGATTCCACAGCCCTTTTCACACTGAAATGAATGGAGTTGTTCCTTAGATAAAAGCTCTGTAGAATTGGCTTTTTGACTGTACACTCATCAGGCATGGACCTTGGGCCAAATTTTGCAAGCCAGTGGTGAGTGAAGCTTCCATTGTCTTCATGTGGAACACTATGCACAGAGGGCTTTTGGTGTCTGCCCCCATCTTTATTTTTCAGTAAAGCACCATATGTACACAGGGTGCTGTATAAATAAATATAAAAGACCCTGAAGATGAAGTTCTTCGTAGTAATGTTGGCAAATAGCTCTCTAATGAGTGTTTTGTATAGAAACACAGGTCTTGATACACTGCCTGTTGAAGTCAAAGACAGGGTTTTCATTCATTTCACCGTGCATTGAATCAAGCCCATAGGACAATATCGGAAAGGGGGACTTATACTCAGCATCACGATATATAACTTTAGCTGCCCTGCTGCCCAGTGGCTCCCCGTATACCGCATGGGGAGAGTAAGGCACCTAAAAATGGGATTCAGAGAAACCAGTACACTGAACAGGGGAGCAAAGCTAAACAGAAGTGAAATGTTGAGGAAAGGGGTGTGGCCTAGTCCTTGACCTTCATATAAAGTTAGGGGCCTAGATCTAGGCTCGAGGAAGATGTCTATCTCCATTTGGGGTTCATGGACAAGTCAGTCCTTTCTCACAGAAAAACTCAGGAACTTATACCTATAGTACAGAGGTCAGAGCTGGTACTTGGACCTAGGCTTCCTACTCAAAGTGATTGGCCTACCCCCCTGAGCTATAGCATATTCTAATGTAGGGCTGTCTCAAATTCTGCTGCTGAAATCATTACACTGTATATAAAATAATCAAATATTTATTGGACCTGGGTTTCCCAGATTGGTGCCCTAACCATGATGAGTATAAAATCATCCCACACTCTCTTCTTAGCCCAGTGAATACTGAATAATTTATAAAAAGTGGAACAACTGTTTTGTGCAGGGTCCAATGCAGTAAGCATGCTGCTAAGTGGTCTCTAAAATGACTTCTAAATCTAAAATGCCACTGATAAGATAGATGGGGTATATTGAGGACTTCATCAGGACTTAAGTGCTGAGCAGCTCAGCAGCATCAGAATTGAGACAGCTTTGTGTACACCCACAGGCAGAAGTTTAGGCACCATGTTGATTTTCTCAGACAGCTTTGGTATGTAAAGAATTGAAGTTTCTACAGGATTGGACAGCCTCTGAGCGGGCTCTACATTGTTGTGTTAAATTCCTAAAGTGTTATGATGGTATCTACATCCCTTTGTGGATCTAGCCCATATTGCATATAAAACACTAACACTGTAAATGTCTAGAAACTGATAAAATATGGGCCTAGCCCTGTAAACCCCCACTGGCATGAACAGTCTTCTTTTATGTAGTCTCATTTATTTCAGTGGGGTTATTCACATGAGCAAGGGTTTCTGGGACTGGGTCTAAATTTGTTTTGCTTTAACTCAGTACTGTTTAAGAAAAGTGCTTGGCACATCTGTATCCCTCATTATCCTAGATAATGCTGTTACATGTGTGGTGGATTTCTGTGATCCAGAGTATTTAATCACAAAATAATAATTCTAAATATGTAATTTTCTTATTAAAAGCATGAAATCAATAGGAGTATGATCCAGATAATTTTAGAATAATTTGGCAGTGACATGTTTTGGCCATTAGTTAACTGTTTTAGCTTCTCATCTGTCTGTCTCACTTTTTGTAAATACTGCCTGTCACCATAGTACCTTAGTTCTTTAGAAAATTAAGTGTAGCAGCCAGATCATCAGCTGATGTAAATCAGTGTAGCTCCACTGACTTCAGATGGAGCAGGTTTACACAAATTGAGTATCCTACTTAACTTCATTATGAAAAGACATAAATGAAGAGCCCCATCTTATATTCCTTCTACTGCCAAAACAGGCACTAGCTTCAGGGTAAGTTTAAAGAGGGCTGCTTAAGGAATGCAGATTGTGACTCCAAATTAGCATTTTATAGCTTTACTGAATAAGGGTCTTTGACTAGTTAACCCATTTAAAAAAATGCACCAATATTTTATCTGTTGCATTACTAATTATGCAGGTTTGTCTCTTCTTTAAAAAAAAATCAAGAAGTGTTAACAGCTGAAATTAATAAGCTAATCAATTCCAGGCAATATTTTACCAGATGTTATTCATCTAACTTTGCTGGCTTCATGTATAGACAAATACAGTAGAAAAATCTATTTGCAACATGCCAGTCTGTAATTTTGCTCTCCTCTCTTAAAATTTTTCATTTGCATATGTGATACGGGAGTAAAAAACCTAGCATTCTGCTTCTCAGTAACCAGGATACAATTAATTACCGAATGGATTGCTTTTTAAAGAAAGTCATCCCTGCAAATTCATAATGAAGTGTGAGCAGCATTACACAAGACAGCAGAAGATGAGATTTACCCTCTTCTCCTCCTCTTCTCCCCCCCCCCCCCCCATATGCATGGATATCAAGTTTCAATGGAAAAGGAAAGTTAACGAGTTCAGCTCCTATGCCTCTCCCCACACGCGCACACGTTTAAGAACAATGAAGAGTTATAAAATTAAGCAACGGGGTTTCTCTGCCTCCAGTACTGGCCAGGATTGTGGGACCTGTGGTACAGTACGTGCCATCAGCACTCTGGCAGTTTACAGATGTGCAGCCTGACTTCTTGCTATTTATAGAAGCCTCTGCTACCAAGGTACTCCAGGAGGCTGTAACGCAGGAGCAGGCATGCTCCTTTGATTTATTGCGGAAATTATAGTCTTTTAAGAGAACTCCGCTCCTTTCATATCAGGGCGATTGGAGCATTCCCAGACCTTCACACCACACGCGTTTGCAGAGATGAGAGCCCTTGCCACCCGGACACGGTCAGGATCCACTGTAAGGGAGCCTGCGCGTGCTCGGGGCTAAGACTTTTAACCAGACTGGCAGCTCGCGCGGGCTGTCGCCGCAGCAGAACTCTTAAGAGAAGGGGGGGAGCGAGGCTGGAGCGCGGTAGGAGCTGGGTGGGTTAGAACGCAGTGCCATGGTGGAGGCGCGTTTCCCGGTGCAGCAAATCGGGTAACCATATGTTCAGTATTCAGCAAGAGCGCTACGCATGGCCTATTAATAGAAAGCGAGAGTTTGGCGCTCGCCCTCCAACAGGCAGGCAGGCGGCGAGGTTGATTCCCCACCCCACCCCCTTCCAGGAAATTAGCCATAATCCCTGTCCCCTGGCGGGAAAAGCCTCAGCCACCAGGTCAAGGAGAGCCTAGCGACTGCCAAGTGCGGCTGACCCCTTTCCCGCTCCGGCTCCGCTGCTTCTCCAGGGGAAGGCAGCTAAGGACGTGGAGCTCAGGCGAAAAGCTGCTCTCTGCAGCACCCTGGATAGCTCCCGGGGAGGCTCCGCGAGCAGTCCCCGCTGCGCCGGCCAGCCAGGGGAGTGACGGGCAGCCCAGGCAGCCCAGCAGGGACCTCTCCCCGGTGCTGCATAGCCCCGCTGCC